TCCCTCTGAAATATTTTTACATTATTAGTTTGCAATAATCTAGGGGAAAAGAGTTTGCTAATCAAAAAAGAAAACTTCAGGCCAGCTTCTGCATTAATTATCACACATTCTAAATTGGTAGACCCTGAATTAATGAGGCCCAGGTTCCTCCTAAATAGTAAGCATAAAATAAAAGATGGATTTGACTATGTACTCTTGTGAAGACCAAGTATAAACTCACAGAGGCTTCCAACTCGCCCCCAAAAGTTTGTTTTCAAAATATGTAATTATCAATGCAATGAAGACCTTGTCTTACGGCCCATGAGCTCTTAATTACCTTCTACCTATCATTAAAAGCAGACTTCTGCAAACATTCAAACTATTTTTTGGATCAATCATATTTTCATATAAGAAATCATCATATACAAACATTTACCAATTAATAAATTGAAATTTCCCATGAACCCAGATTCCAATAAAAAAATTTTTTTTGATCATTTAAATAATTATTTCTATCCATGCTGTCGGAGAGCCCGGCAAGCTACCGAGAGTATCTCGCCTGCACAGAGCCTGGCAAGCTACCCGTGACGTATTCGATATGCCAGACACAGTAACAACAAAGTCTCCAATGGAGATGTTACTGGGCCCGCTCGAGCAAATCGATGATCAACGGGAGGGCCTTTACTTTTACTTACTTACTTATCCATGCTGTCATTAGGTTGCAATTAAGCAGTTCAGCTTTTATCCTTTGTGGTGATAGAGTGCCCAGGTGGGATTGCTCTTAATGGGACACCAGGCTTCACACTTGGAGCTGTGGCAAGTTCAGGGGACAAACCCAGGGCCTCATACTTGCCAGAAATGTATTCTATCTCTGAGCTACATTCCTAGATCCTGCAGCTTTTATTCTTAAAGAGAGTTTGAATGTTTCTGATTTACTCTTCATGCCTGAAGGACATAGGGACAGAAAGATACACAAGTCAACACGGGCTTATATTCTTTCTCTGCCACTATTAAACTTTTCCTCACTGAAGAGCCGTGCCTTCTCTCCTAAAATCCAGTGCCCACGTATACCCTTTTTTGACCTTTTGGTTGACTTTCAGACATCTACAAAAAGAGCAGCACATGTGATTCCTCAAAACTACCCTGGGCTTCTCCTGTGTTTTAATTGCTTAGTAGTCAGCTTTCCCTTCTTCCTCAAAGTTGGGTCTTTTCCTTTCTTTACTTAACTTGTAGCCAGTTAGGAGCTTAATTTCCTGGTGTTTTGTATCCAAGGCCATGCTTGAAGCCTTCATGTTTTTATATTAAAATCTAAAATATGTATGGTATTCATTTTAACTCCATCAAATCTCTACCCAATAAAATATTAGAATAACAGTAGGGGCAGAGAGTTGCTATAGCCAGTATGGTGCTTGCTTAGCGCACAGCCAACCTGGGTTCAATCCCTGGCTCCCATATGGTTCTGAGTATCACAAGAGTAATTCCAGAGTGCTGAGCCAGGGATTGAACCTTTGAACATTGCAGGATGTGACTCCAAACAAAACAAAACAAAATAACAGTATATTTATTTTAAGAAGGTTGGGACTGGAGAGATAAGCAGCAGGTAGGGGGCTTGCCTTGCAATTGGCTGACCCGGATTCAATCCCCAATAACCCATATGGTCCCTTGAGCCCCACTACAAGTGATCGCTAAGCACAGAACCAGGAGTAAACCCTGAGCACCACCATATGTAACACACACGGCCCCAACCAAAATTAAAAAAAGAAAGAAAGAAAGAAAAAGAAGAAAGCATGTTGGTCCAATACCATTTTCACAAGGGCAAAATCACTGTGTTGATAAGAATTCTGAATTTCTGCTCTTTTTTTTAACCTGAACAAAGTGGAGATGGCTTTTTAAAACCTTCACATAGAGACTGGAGAGATAGCTCAAAGAACTGGAGTGCATGCAACAGAACCCCAAATTCAATATCCATTACTGCGTAGCTCCCATAAGCACCTCTGGGTGCAGACTTGGTGGGCCCAGAACAGTGCCAAATGAGCAGCATATCTGTATAGGGTGCTGATGACTGAGTCCTGCGCCAGTGAACTGCCCTGCTTTATGGGCCCAGATTCTTCATGCTGGCATCAAGATGCTCGGGAGAAAGCACAGGTATCATCTGACTTGTCTGTCTCTGCACTCTGCCTATGAAGTCCTGAATTCAAGTCCACACAAAGGAAAACAATTAGCAAGGTGACTGTTTTCTGATTCTGATTTTAAAAATGCTTTTCTTCAATTCTAGACGAGTTTGACTTGTTTGGAAATGCTTCTGGAAAAATAGAATAAGTACCTAAGCCTACTTAAGCCTAAGAGGGAATAATGTTATGTTTTAGACTTTACAGTGTGTTCTAATCAAAGTCTTTATATGCAAAGGAAATAGTAACAAAAATAGTAGTGATAATAATAATTATTACAGTTAATACTTAAATGCCTATACAGTGCTGGTAAGTGCCAGGCAATGTTGTATGCATGTAATGATTTATTTATAAATTCTTACATGTATTTACTTGCTATAATTATCCACATTCATAGAAGAAGAGACTAAGGCATTAGCTTAATAAAATAAAGCAAATTCTCCAGGTTTATACAAACTAATGGCAGAGACTGAATTCAAACCCAGGCATTCTGGCTCTATCATGGATCATCGTATGCTAAGTTATACACTCAATAGTTTATAGAGTTTACAAGAGGTTTTCTAATTGTAGAATTCACAAGAAATCTATCCTTCTAAAACCAACCACCAAATATAACTACATCATGGTAATTTTAGTAATTTTACATATTGAGTATTTAATAAGGACCCACACTGCCAAGTTGATAAGAAAAAAGATTGGGGTTATAACAAAACCAGTTATTCTTGCACACTTGGAAGTACTGTTTAAATTTGCATCACTTTAAAAGCTCATTACCAACTAAGCACATGCACACAAAAAAATTTAAATACTTGACATTTTGGTATCTGTGATATTAAAAAGAACTAATATTTAATATTCAAGTGGCAACAGCTTGTCGAGTTTGCACACAACACCCACAGGGATCGATTTTTCTTTTCAAATGGCCTTTGGAAGTCTGCCTTTTAAACAGCTGACACCTCCATTCTCTGCCTCCCTCTTCCTGGCAGCACCATGGGGTCCTCCCAGAGTGTGTGGTAACAGACGTGTAATTCTTCACTGCAGGATTTGTCTATGCAAATAATGGAGAATGTGGGAAATTAAGAAAAATGTAATTGCCGCAGAATCAACCTCTGTGCAATCTTACTGGGGAAAATGAATCCGTGTCTTTCGAGGGCTTTTCTCCATATGCTCTTCCCAGGCCGTCCCAGGCGGACAGAGGCAGCCCTGGTACCTAATTGAGCATCAGTCATTTCACAGCTGAACCCAGGCCACTTTGCGACAACTATACTGTCGCCTGGCATTTTTCCAGCATGACTAATTGTCACAGTACTAATTTACTCACCTGTGGAATTTTCAACTTCCCCAGACTGCTGTCAAGAAGATGCATAATAATGGAATCAAGGTTTTAAAATGCTGAACACTGCGAAATATTTCACTTATGTGCCAGTAGGAAGCTTTTGCACATGCACATGTTAGGGGGGTATAATTAACTCATGGCTGGGGTTTCAAAGGTCACACGTATGTTCACGTAATAGAATCACAGGAGAAAAGAGAACAGATCTTTTTTGTGCCTTTAGAGTGACTATACTGTTCAGTTTACTATTACGTTCTACATTACAAAGCACTTCATTTGGGGGATGGTACTAGTTAAGGAAATATTTTTCCAATAACCAAAGAGGAACATTAATCATTTGTTAGATTTTTTCTCCCCTTTCCCTCCCTCACCTTCCACCCAGAAAAGTGAAAATGTTTAGGATGGAGATAGAGGCATGCGTTACCTTAATTACATAAAGTGGCAAACCAACTTGCAGCATCTTTGGCAGTCAGACTGATCTGAAGAATTTATTTTAATGTCACATTATATTCTTGAAAATTAATACTGGTCACAAAAACTCATTACACACAACTGTAAAAACTAAAAACAGCTGGTTTTTCTGAAGATTGCACTCATTATGAACCAGAGATCGCTAATGCATCAGTGAAAATTACATGGTAACTGACCAGTGTTAATATAGATGCTTGATTGCTTTTGATACAACTAAAATTTAGAGATCAAAATCCTGGAGTTGATGCAGAAATTTTCATAGAATTGCTTCTCTCGATTTTTAATAGTCTGATAGATACAAATTCCACCATTTGTTCATTAACACTGTAGGTTATTAGGTCATCTGATGAGGAAATGAAGTTACCTGGGCAATTTGAGAGAAATAGTGGGTTAAATGCAGGCTTATTTTCATGCAGAAAATTCACTTCAAAAACTTCAGTATGCTAATATGCATGCTGAGGAGGATACTTTTCCAACCTTAATTGACCCACACCAATCTATCACAGCACAGCTCCAAAGCCAGGAATCTGTAGAACATATTCATTTCACCTTGGCTTTTGCCTATATATCTATCACAGGTATTCAAACTTATTTTAGCAAATGCCAAGCATTATCCACCTAACTGTGGAACTGAATTGCAACTGTCAGTGGTCTTCTTTGCCTTGCCCTTGACATGAGGATAGATGTGCCTACAGGATCAGAAACTCAAGCTCAGACTTCCAGCCAGATCTCCGTCTGTGTACTCAGAGGTGGAAAATAGAGGTGATGACAACAATCCTCTCTACCATGCCGACCTCCAGTACTGCTATTACTTTAAAAAAAGGATTTTCCAGGCGATAGCAAAGGGGCAGGAAAGCAGCCATTCCCTATCCCACACGTGCCTTCCCCATAGCTTCTCTGAGAGACCCTTTTCCTCATCTCAAACCCAATGGCCAATTTATTCTTCTTGTGCTATTCAAATTGCTGTCCTGTTTCTCTGAAGCATCTCTGTTCTAACACTGAATTTTAAGCATCTCTAAAAATGCTGGATATGTTCTTATTCTTTCCAGATACCCTCCGAGAGCCAAGCAAAGAACATTCCGCATGAGAGGAGGAATGAGACGGGATCCAGGGCAGTGAAGGAGAGGCACTTCCAAGAGAGGACGCTTGCTCCCCAGGCCTGAACTGTGCATCACAATGAGAACTTACCGCTACTTCTTGCTCCTCTTTTGGGTTGGTCAACCCTACCCAACTTTCTCAGCAACGTTGTCTAAAAGGACTAGTGGTTTCCAGGCCAAGAAAAGGGTCCTGGAGCTCTCTGGACACAGCAAAAATGAGCTGACCCGTTCCAAAAGGAGCTGGATGTGGAATCAGTTCTTTCTCCTGGAGGAATACACAGGATCCGAGTATCAGTATGTGGGCAAGGTAGGACTGCATGGGGCACTTTGACATTGTGGTTGTAAAAGCCTGAGCAAGTTACTTCTAATTAATTGAGGGAAAGGATGTGAACTCTTCCCCAATACTGTAAGAATTGTTGCTTAGCTGCTAAAACTATTGCTGCTGTTTATTCAAGTAGTTTCGGAGAGAAGACTAGGCAAGAAGCTGAGAAATGTTAGCACTGCCATGAAGAAAGAGAAAAATGCTCCCACTGCAGATGAAACGCCCACAACCATCCACATAGGATTATCATAAATCCTTTAATTTTTACTTTGGCTTTTGAAATGTGGTCCAGCTATTCTATAATGTAGGATAGATAAAAAACAAGAATTGAGATTAAGGAGTAAGGAAGGGAAAGTTTCTTTTACATTCTGAAAGCAAATGTTCTCAGTTGTAGTGCTTTGGCCAGGTTCAAATGGACTGTTTCTGAACTCTGTTCCTAACAGTGCCATCTAGTCTCTGCCCAGAGGGAGACAGTCCTGTGTCCTAACCTTCCTCTTACCTTATATTTGGTAATTACTGCCATTGCTATTGTTCTGTTTGGTCTCAAGAAAGCAGGCAAGAATCAGGCATCAGAAGCTGGTGATTTTATTGTGACAAGGTTCACAAAAGAGAAAAAATGGTTATGTAAAGGGGCTTCTTCCAAATATCATCTGACCATTTTAAGTACTGGAGGAAGTAGATTGAAGAAGCATTGTTTATTATATTACCCTCGCAGATTACTGGAGCTGAGTCAGGGAAATAGCTTGGTTATATTGTCATCGTGGGTTTCACTGAAATTTTATCACCAGCTACAATCTTGTTGCAGAGTATCTGCATACCGCAAAGATATTTAAAAACAAAAAAAGGAACAGGAATACAAGTTAGTTCTTTTCAGATTTTGCACTTCATGATATGTACTGATAAGAAAAATAATGGTTATACATCCTTTAACAAACCAGGAGTGAATGTGATAAGTGATAAAATGTCTTTATGATTAGAATGATAATTTTTAAATATTTTAAAATATCTAGCAAGCATAGAGCATGAATTTTGCAGGGTTTAGAGCCTACGTGATCACACTTCAATCAGTGATCAAATATCCCTGAATAGCAACATGCCAATATTTTCTTTAAGTATTTAGCACTCAAAATGAAGAAAAGCTCTCCCTGGGTTAGGTTGAGGTAACTAGGCATCATTCCAATGAAGTGAATTATTGATGTGGTATAAAGTAAGAGAGGAAGTATTCAGTGAAGGGGTGAACATCAACACAGATCCCCAAGGATTCAGCCTTGTATTTGCTGTGAAATTCACAGTGTGGAACTGCTGAAAACAGACAGTCCACTTACTCTTTTCCTCGGTAAGAACTGAATAGCACTACATCAATAGTGCAATTGTTGTATAGTGATAATGATAATAATAATAATAATAATAATCTCAGTCTCAAACGTACTTTCTACAATACAATTTAGATCTAACACATACATCTTAAAACGTGCTGGATTTAAATTGCCCTGTCTTGACTCTGCCTTTCTTCTCAAGTTGTGAGGTCTTTATGCATCAAAATCTACCTCATGTGTTTAAAGAAAGGTCCAGGATATTTCAGATGCTAGACGCAACAATGGACAAAACTGTAGCAGAGTATTTCACAGTTCAAACAGTGATCAGGGATGTGGCCATCGGGGAAAATCAAGCTGAAGACTCAAGCAGTTCCCAGTCTTTATCACTGTGCGGTAGCATTGTTGTTGTATGACCCAGGCTGGTTATTAACCATCCCAGTTTTCCATGTCTCTGTCCAGAAACACAGGTACAGTGCTACCCCATGGGGTGGCACTATATAGTTTGTTGGTGACAGGAACTAGAATCTGGTACCCAAGGATGTTATTATTCTTGTGACCAGAGTCCAGCTAACCCCAGTTCTATCCTCAGTACCACATAGTCCCCTGAGGGCTATAACCTTGGAGCCCATCCCTCTACATCTCGGCCCCTTTCCCACTAAAGAGCCTTAGCAGCACAATGTCCTTGACTCTCATATTGAACCATCAACCTGGTTGGCCTAGAATCACCGGAAGAGAGTTTCAGGCCCTCTGAGCACTGTTTGAGAGCACCACCACCACCAAAGACATGACTATCCTTGGTGAAAAAAAAATAATAATATCAAATTGACTCCATTAAATCTACCCATAATACAATACTGAAATGGAATAGTGAATTTTTTCCTATCATTTCAAGGAGCAAAGGAGGTGTAACTGTAGGATATGCCAGTAGGTGGGAAATGAAGAGCATGGTAGCATCCCTTCATAATCAAGTTCAGCTGGACCCAGTGGACTGGGGCATTTTATTGGCCAGTGCAGTGATCTCCCTGGGCTAGCTCCTCTGCAGCTCCCTTACTGCGTGAAGGTACAAAACGGAAAGGAAGAAGAGCTGGGGAGAAGGGTCAGGGAAGTCTGCTCTGTACACCTGGGGGAGCTTCTGTGCTACTGATACAGCCCCTTCCCAAGTCCACTTACCAGTTGTGTTTTATCACCAGACAAAGGGTGGGAATTGTACAATCACAATTAAAAAATAAACCAAATTAAACAGGACTGTAAATTACAGTGCCTCAAATAAAATTTAGAAGAAAAGAAATAGATTCATGGCCCAAAGAGAAAGTACAAGAAGGTTTAAGCTGCTATCCTTGCATGAAACTCACTCCAGTTCGATCTCTGGCACCAAATATGATTTCCTGAGGAGCACCAGGAATGATCCCTGAGCACAGAGCCAGGAGTAATGAGAACCACTGGGGTTGGTCAATAATATTTCTTAAAAACCCAATTATTTTATAAGAATGTATCAATAAGTTGGTCCATTAATATACCTGTAATAAAATTTGATGAGATGATTCAGATACCCAGCTCCACAAAGTCAAGAAATCTTTATAAAAGAAAAAAAAAGAGAAATGGTTAGACTATAGCAGAGGCTCCAGTATCCTATCCATTCACAGTGCCCTTAACATCTTGGTAATTATTTTACAGTACCCTTAGGCCAAAGGAAATACCTAACAACTGCACCTAATAAATAGTGAGGTCCAGACAACTTAATAAGCATCTGTGTTCTAATAGAGGAGAAATTGACAAAAAGAGTGTATCATTGGGGGGGGAGATGGGTGGGGGAGGGGGTGTTAAAAAAAGCAACTCTTATTCTTTTTTTTAATTTAATTTATTTATTGAATCACCGTGAGAACAGTTACAAAACTTTCAGGTTTAAGTCTCAGTCATACAATGATCAAATACCCATCCCTTCACCAATGCATATTTTCCACCACCAAGAACCCCAATATACCTCCTCCCATCCCTCCTCATGCCTGTAAAGCAGATGATTTCTACTTAACTCTCTCTCTACTTTGATTACATTTATTATTTCGACAAATGATGCACCATTATTATTTGGAATTTTACCCCAACAATCAGACCTGCTGAAAAGGCATCGTGAAATAATTTGTTTTCTATTGCTGGTTATGAAGACCATATGATGGTCACAGCTATTGCGGCCATGTGATTTTGGATTTCTGATATTTTACTAATTAATTCTGGAGGGATTTCTGCCAAAAGCCGTACAGTTCTGAGATTGGTTTGTGTGACTCTGGGTCCATGGCCGTGACAGAGGCTTTTGGGGGCAGGGCAGGAAGGATGTGCCGGTTCTGTCCCCATCCCATGAGGCTACAGTTGCCGTGTCACTGCCAACTCATATCTGGCTATCCAATAAGCTCTGAGGTAGCGACCACCATGCCACCCGGGGGTTGGGGTGGTGGCAGAAGAGACAGACATCCTTTCCCTCCCAGCGGGGTACGGTGCCGTAGCTTAATGCATAGTCCATTCATATTTCTGCCAAAAGCTTCTGGATTCCGAATTATGTCCATGTTCCTCTGGGGCCATGGCCTTGCCAGAGAGCCGCTCATGGGGGGCAACTTGTGGTCTCAGCAGGGTGGGAAGAATGTAAACTATTTTATTCTTAAATAACCAGTTACTTCATGAAATGTCTCTATCTCGTGGAAGTTGCTCAGTTTCTCTGACTGGATGCTTCTCTCATATTTCCTTTTCCACATTAATTCTTTCCCCTATTCTTGCTTTCTGGGCTGGAGCGATAGCACAGTGAGTAGGGAGTTTGCCTTGCACGCTACGGACCCAAGTTCAATTCCTCCACCCCTCTCTGAGAGCCCAGCAAGTTACTGAGAGTATCTCACCTGCATGGCAAACAGGAAGTCTCACAATTTATTGTGAGACACTACTGGTGCCCGCTCGAGCAAATCGATGAACAATGGGAGGATAGTGCTACAGTGACAGTGCTGTTCTTGCTTTCTATCACAAGGATGGTGCAAAGCACAGTTTTATAAATAAGACACCATGAAAGGAATGTTCTGCCACCTATTGTGGGCATGATCAACTATCTTCAGTTAGCAATTCACAAGGCTTCTGAAGGGGCTTAAATGTTGCTACCTTTCCTTCAAAAATTTAAAAATACGTTGTGGTGCCATGGTTGTCTATGAACCTCAGATTCCTTCACTGCCCTCTCAGAACTATGCAGCCATGGAAGGATTGGTTTATAAAGGGATCAAAAGTGCTAACTTTGTGCTGTTAGCCCTACTAAATAATAGCTGATCCTTTGGGCCTGAAACTAAAGAGTTTGATTGGTACATGAAACAAAAGTGGCTCTGAAAAGAAATGCAGTCGAACCATTAGAACTAAAAGAACTAAAAGCTCATTAAATTGAGCTCAGTCAACAGGATGCCAGTGATTCGTGTGTGAGTGGGGGTTGAAGCATGGGTTTATTGGATGCAGAAAGAGATGGTTTCTAAGATCCAATGAGCATCAGGGAAATAGAAGAAAACAGTGTGGAGGGGCAGGAGAGACAGCTCAACAAGCTGAGCATGTGTTTTGCATATAGGAGTCCAGCTTCCATACCCAGCACTGTATGGTGCCCCTGGCATTGCCAGGTACGGCCCCAAAACAAAGAGGAATAAAAGCCGTCTA